TTTGTGGTATATATACATGTAATAAATATTTAAAAAGTATAATCATTTTAAATAGGTATCTATCCAGGATGCGAATTTCGTATAGTTCTAGGTATAAATATTATAAAAAAGAAACACTGATTATTTATAAACCAATTAATAATTACTAGAGGTGTTTCGGATAGAAAATTGATTGTAAACCAAGCATTGACCGAGTGAAATTTCAATATTACGCCGAGTTCCGGTGTTATTTGCGGTGCCCGAATATTAATCTTAATATCGATTAATAGCCGGTTATATGTGCATAAAAACTATTCAAATAGACCTTCCTTTAAAGAAAGTTGCATTCCAAAGTCCAAAACGTTGAAAAGTCGTTAGATTAAGCATTGAGTTACTACGCACCTAATAATAGTTTATTTTGTTTTGTATTTAAGCTAATTTCAAATTTTACTGAATAATTCTGAAGTCGGAAACTATCGAATAATTGAATAATTCGAAACTATCAAATAGTCCAAATAGTTTCGAATAATTTGGAACTATCAAATATTTGAAAAATTATCGAATAGTTCGAATGTCTCGAACAATCGATAGTTCGATAGTACTATTCGATAGTGCCCATCACTACCTAGAATCTTTATTTACAATAAGAACCAACTATTGTAAGTTGGTTCATTAATCCTGAGTGTAACAAAATAAATCATAATTTATAGCTTAGGATTTTTCCTGTTATATTGATGGGAAACAGTACTTAATTCATCGATGTAAAATTCTCGATTCCTACTATTTAAAAAGTTCCTATTTCAAAACCGGTTCTCTTTTGGTTGGATTCTTGTTATTGATTAGAATACTAAGAGTCTAGAAGTAAAATACTCTCAGACGAAGTTTCCATTAAATATACGAAATTTATTTTCACTATGGACTTTTCTAAAATACCCTCAGTGTCTTTTTTAAAAAGACAATATTAGATTATTAGAATATTTTTTGCGTGTAAAGTGTTTTCCATAAAAATAAATTATACACCGCATGTAATAGACTAATAAAATAACTAATTGCCCATTTTTTTTAAAGAAAAATCATGGAATAAGCTTAAAACTTGTCAAAAATGGAAACTATAATCCGTTCCGTCACAAACTATTTCGCAGATCAGAAATGAAAAAGTCAAAAACTTATCTAAAACAGAATATTTTTAGGTCCCATGCGATTCCATTGCAGACAGTTTTCTCTGTAAAACTTATATTGGTTTTCTTCAATTCTATAATCATGTGAAAAGGCCCAAATAAAGTTAGAATGGATTAAAATCAGCTTAATAGGTTAAAACTTAAAATGTTTCTAACATAAAATTGTTTGCTTGTTGTTAACAAAAATAAATTACTTATTAAACTTCTAAATTATTAATTATAAGTTATTAAATCATAGGTATATAATCTTTGTTTTAATCTTTATCTTTGATTTTTAAACATTGAACAAATGTAAATTATAATAATTATACAACAGCATTATCTAATTATAGAAACTCTAAATAACTTAATAAGTGAAAAAATTAATCTAAAATAAAAAAATCGACGCAGCGCTAAAAATCAAAAATTAAATTATTAATCTGAAGAATACTCGTTAAATATTAGTGATTATTTAAAATATTCGAAAAATATATATAAATTTATTTTTAAATATCTACGATGTATTCTTGAAGAATTATAATTTCTCGCCTCATAAATAATAAATTTTAGCTGCTTTGACAATATCCTATTACATAAAAATCCATCGAGTTAAATTGTTCGGTAGAAATATCATATTATATAATGTTTATTTATTTTATTAATTTAATATTTAATACAATAATATTCCAATCATACACGGTAATGATATTCATACTACGTTGATTCGGTTTAATATTAAAATATGTTTAAGATGTATAATTACGTCAATCAGTGACACGATGATGAAATGGGATTGAAGGATACAATTCGCTCAACCCTAAACATTTATTTTTCTAGTGTATCATAAACACTCGTGTGTTGGTCTGTAAATCGAATTTCAACAGCTTAACTGGCACGTAAAAGCGTTATCTAGTACACATCATTGGATACTAGTAAATTTCTGACATATCTCCTTTGAGCTATTTCTATTTAATTAAACATTAAGATATCTGAACAAAATATTATTTACAGTGAAATTATTTAGACAGAACTAAATATTCCTGATAATTTAATTATCTAGATAAATTATGGGCAGCATGCATTATATTTTAACAAAAAAAAAAAATAATAATGAAATTAATTTTGGCCCATTAATCTTTCGCCCACCCTCGGCAAAATATTTGAAAAATGACTCCTAAAACCATTAATTGCAATAATCAATAAAGAAATACACTTCCAAAATCTCAATATAGTTTTCATTTTCAGCACAACATAATACATCAAATTCATCATATCGCCGAGAAAATCCCAACTTAATTTGAAAAAAAATTATTCCATCTTGGAGTTTCTTATATATAGCTCAGGCCTTCGACCGTATGTGTGCCACATAAATTACCTAACCATCGTGCCTACGGTCTCTTCTTTAAGTTAAAGATTTTTCTTCCTACTCGTTATTATTTAATCTTAAAATTTTACTTAGATAACCGGGCATTTACGGTTATAGTACGCAACTCAAACTCGCTCACTGAATCAAAACAAATTAAAGAGGAAGTCCCTCAAGGTAGTGATCCCTCAACATCTCACATATCTTATATAATATATTTACATTAATATATAAACTTCGAACTAAATTCTATTGGTCACGTTTGCAGACGATACTCCAATTCTCGCGTCCAAAAAATCTACTGTATAAACACTCTTCAGCTTCACCTAAATAATATAAATTCCTGGGCTAAAATTAAAATTATTGATGACAAATCAGTTAAAGTCAACTTCACTCTAAGTCGAAATGAATACGTTCAACTTCAAATAAACAATAAACCAATCCAAACGCAGCCCTTAACGAAATATTTAAGAATCATTCTTAACAAGCGGCTCACGAGGGCCTAACGTATCAAGTCCAAACGCAAACAGGCAAATACACGACTTCATCTTCTTAGATCTCTTTTTAAATCTTAAATGTATTTTAAAGTCAAAACCCTTATTTACAAAGCCTTAATTTGACCTGTATGGTTATGTAGCAAATACATTTTGGGTCTCACCAAGCCATCTAATATAAGTCCTATCCAAGCCTTCCAGTCTATTAGTCTCAGACTTATAACTGGAATCCCCTGATACATTGCAAACGAATCTCTTTATACAGACCTTAAAATACCCACCATCAAATAACCGACAAAAACACATTATGACTGTTTTCACGCTAAATTAATAAGCCACTCAAACCCTCTCATCCGCAATATTTTCTTATCACTCCCCAGAATTATTAATCGTCATCTAAAAAGAAACTGGTCTAGGGAGGTGACTGATTTCTAAAAGCTAAAATAATAATAAAAAAAAAAATTCTGAAGTGTTAATGAAAAATGTCCTCTACAAATTAGTCATGTGCTGCAATACATATATAGCACTGTAACTTATTTACTTAATATTTTAGTTAACTGATTGTAAATATCTTTAAATTAAAAAAGAAAAAGAAAAATGAATACGTACCGATACCTTTATAAAACTACAAACGGTATATTAATAATGTACATCGGATTATAAGAAATGTTGATTGCGATTTATACATATGATAAAATATTTAACCAGTTAAAAAAAATATAAAAAAAAAAAAAAAAAAAAACTAAACAATATTTTCTTAGATTAGATATAATAAAAAGAAGAGCGAGGTAGGTACATGAGTTAGGAAAAATACAACTACGGGTGATTGATATAAATAAATTGTTCATTTGAAATCGATAACCATTGGTTTCGAACATCGATTCTGAGTGAAGGAGGATAGTCAAGTGGATCAGTCTCTATGCCGAAAATTAGTTTAAATTACTTTGTTGGAAAAAATATTCTAATAATTTCAAAATTAGGCCGGTTAGATACATCAAATTTAAAAAAAAATAAAATAAACTTACAACTTTTGGGCTGTTAAATGTTGTAACTAAAATGTTAATGTTTCAAGTTCTTATGATAAATATTTTTAGTTAAAAAAAAAAATTTAAAGTCGTTTAATCGACATTTGGATAGATGAACGTATTTTGGTCGAGTTTTGTCACAATGATACCACTCAAATTCTTATGAAAACAATTTTAAATAAAGGTTAAAGGCTTCTGATTGTATACCAGTCATAACAATGTATGAGACACGTTGTATTAAATGTCCAAAATCAAATTAATTATATCAACATTTCAAAGCTATACGGTTTCTATTCGTTATAAATAATTAAGTTTGTCAGTTAAAAAATTCATCAAAATAAACCTCTAGAACCTTCGAGATCGAATAGTTCCATCACAATCCATTTTAAAATCAGAGCAATCCTGTTAATCGAAATCATGTGTTGACAGACACAAAAAAAAGGGAGAAAGAAGCTAAAAATTCCTTGGTCGGTTGAGACTCGCGATCTGACGAATACAGATATGGGTGAATAGGTGTTTAAAACTTGAAACCAATGAAAACGATTCTAAATGTATGAGGTCTGAAGGTGATTAGTAAATAAAATGAACGAAACTTCATAATAAAGTAAGTTGAACTTTTAATGTTTCAATAACTTTCGCAAAAAAAAAAAAAAATAGGCCTCTAAACCAACTATAATATATTTACTATCTTTTACTTTTCCCTTTGGGTCGAAATCGTGCACACAGATGCAAAAAAAAAAAAAAAATGAAAAAAACACACACACACTTTATGGTAAGACCAATGTATAAACTTCGTTTCGTTTAGAATTTAAGAGATTACGAGAAAATAATGAACAAATCACAAATGCATTTCTCACGCTCCGCTCGGGATGCCGATACGGTGTGTCGAATTTTTTCGACTTTCGTTTATTTATTGATCCCGTTGATTGATTTTTCGCTCCCGTAATAGAAATCGCGCGCGTTCGACGATGCGGTTCCTCACCTGTAGACGGCCACGCAGACCAACGCGTTGCCGATGAGCCCGACCACGAACACCATCGAGTGCATGACGATGAACACCCATTCGGACTTCTGCGGCGTGATGTACTCGACCAGGTAGTTCTGGTACTCCTCGTCCGTCATGTTGGCCGTCTCGTCGTACTCGGTCACGTTGTCCATGACCACCGTAGGCGGCGAGGTCGCGTGTCCGCCCGCCGTGACCACGATCGCCGCCAGCACCGTGGCCAGCGACCGTGCCGACCAGCCCATCGCGGTCCTCGATCGTCCGGTCTGCAACACACGCGTACCGATTAGAACGATGCCGTTATCGTCCGTCGGCAGGATAGAGGGGGGGAGGGGGTTCGCGTCTGGGAAAATTATTACCAAAAAAAAAAAAAATAAAAACCATTTCAATTTCCATGTCAATATCCATTATTTTTATTTCTATTTTAAAGCGAAATATATTATTTTTTTAAGTTCTGAGTAGTTTTGACAATGTCCGTGGTGGACGATTAAAAACCGTGTGGTGTGAAATACGCGCGTCTTCTAGTTCCCAACCTAACCGTCTTCTAGTCACGTAGGTCACTGATAAGACGGCGACCGTACGGGAAAAATCCGTCTAGCATCCTGTGTAAAAGCCGCAATGAGTTTCATGTGTTTACTGCCGATTAAAATCCGTACGGACAAAACCGTCGTGTGTGAAAAGGTCCTATCCCGTGGTCATCGCACAGTGGTCTTCAGAATCATCGGTTTATACGGAAAAAAACACCACGTTTGAAATGTTAATTTTTTCAAATTTTTTTTTTTTTTACGATGTATAAATAAACATCCTAAGGATCCTCAAACGGAGTTTGAAGTTCCTATGTATAAATCAACGGGACTTAGAGCATATTTTTTTTTTTTTTTTACGGTTTTTACTCGTCGGTCCGGGACGCAACCGCTAGGCATTGCGCTAAAATGGTCGCAACCGTGATACGATAAACTAGGCATGATGTCAACGGTCGTATTTTACGTTGCGCAAATGTGACGTAAATGTGATCCTTCGCCACTTCTCGTCGGTTCGTCGTATAACTTCAAACTCTTTTGACAGTAACCGAATACCTCGTTTTTATCAATCCTTTTTTAGCAAAAATATTCAACTATTGAATTACTGCTGATTAGAATTAGGATTCTTCGAATTGTTTACAAAATTGTCTACAATTTACAGTATGAAATAATTAATTACTTGTAATTTAGTGTGTTTGACGAGTTATCAGAGTTTGTACTCATTGCAAAAAAATAATTATCTGGAAATTTAGATAATTCAGATCTTTGGATTTCATGCCCATCCCTAATATGTACCACTGGACTTCGACCCACTTTTATTCACTTAAATATTATTATTACTTGAAATTTAATTGAAACTTTTGACACCTATGTTTTAACACCTTCTTGTCAATAATAATGCAATTTTAAAACGTGTATATCACCCATGTAATAGTTTACACTTTCGTTAAACACGTAATGTATTGCAATTTACTAGAAGTGGTTTTAAAATACAAATATTGGTTTTATGTTATAAGATTGTTAAATAATATTAATCTCTATTCGTGTGAGCACAACAAATGAGTGTATCGATTTTATAGAAAAGTTTTTCGCTCGATTTTTTTACGACTTTTTATTAAACACTCGAAAGCTAAGCCCTAAAGCAATTCGACAAATAAGTCTTTTATTACCTCAAGAAAACAATTTCATCAACACTCAGTGTTTTAGAAAAGCTTTTATTCCAAAATCTTGATACTAAAATTATTTTTCAACCATTTTCTGCAAAAACTTATGTTAAGTGGAAAATTCACTCATTAAACATTGTATATTAAAAATGAATTTGGAAATTAAAAAAATAATACAAATATTTTATTATTGATAAAACGTTAGAACAAAATTAACGATTTAATATCGTTCATTCACCAAATTGATTCGATGTTTAAATGTTGTATAGGTTTGAATTTGTAATTCTTGAAACAAACATGAGTCAGTTTCAGATCGTAAAATTCATAATAACATTTTTTTGGATCAGTAATATTCTATTGACAACTTTTACAGACGTTTAAAAATCGTTTGTTGTTATTTATAAAACGATTTAAAATTGCATTTTTTTAAATTTTTTTTTTCGTATTTATGTACCTATTGAGTGTAAGTATGATTAAAATCATACCATAATATACGTTTATATTTTACGAAAAACGTTATTGTTAATGACACAATTTCATTTGTCGAATTTACTCATCAATGTTAATTTGCATCAACATCGAGTGCAATAAATTATTTTAAATAAAAGTAACTAGATCATAAGATCAACACAATTATTTTTTTTTTTTTTTTTTTTTTTAATGTATGAAAACTATAGGTTGGTATTCAAAATAAAATGAAAAATAAATTTTTCTTAAAAAAAATCTATAACCTAATAGGAAACACTGCAATGGACGAATAAGTTAACACACACAATTAATACTAGACTTCGGGCCTTAAAATAAAAAATCACAATGACACTACTTAAAAATTTAAGATCTTAATTAAAGTGACTAAGTAAGGTATTAATTATGAGGTCTTTTTACAATTTTCTTTTAAGTTTTGTAACTTTAGGCAAAAACGGTATTTGTAAATACGACTATGCATAATTAAAACCATGTTCCACTATTCCTTTATAGTTAATTTCTTTTTTTCTTAACTCTAAATTTAACTTCTATCATAAGAATCTGAAAATGCATCAACATACCACTACTTTTCATAAATGTTTAATGAGTAATAATATTTTTCATGACCAATCATTATTATTGTCATACACAGTCTAGACTATTAAACATATCTCTGACTGTAAATATATTTTTAACACACATAATATTCGTGTATTCATTCATACATTTTTGAAATAAGAAAATTTATAAAAATAATCTAGACATACTTAACATATGATAAAATTAATAGAAAATATCCAACACCAAATTAAAAAAAAATTATGTCATATTTTACCCAGTCCCAACAATACACTAACTAGAAGACTAGAAAAGAATACATGATCATTAACCGTTTCATAATATGACATACCAGATAAACCTTATAATAAATAAAATAACATGATGAAGCCGTTAATTAAGACTAATTAAGTAGGTATGTTAAGAGAAAAAATTTAATAAAATTATATTTTATAATAATTAATATTAGGTGACAAGAATCTGACTTGACAAAAATAAAATGAGAGGTCATGACATTTTAAAATTCACGATAAAGTGGTGATAGTAGGGAAATATTTTGATAATCGAAGTGCAAAAAAGAAGAGAGATGAATACTTTCTCATTATTCCAGTTATTTTATGATCAAATATTATGTAATTTAACAAAATTCATATTTCATGAAAAGTATTTTACTTTTCATAAGTATAAAATATTTTAAAAAGAAATAAGAAAAAAATTTGCAGATAAACGAAGTGTTAGAATTTCTCTCGGTTTCGCTTCTGTTTATATTATTATTATTCACGAGGGGAAGTATTCGCGACGTTTTCATTTCAATCGGCAACGGAACTATTTGGTAATCTTATCAGATGCCAGGTCAGTGATTAAAACATTTGGAGCCTGTTTTAGAATCTTTTGTATCTTTAAGCTTAACTACTTAATTTACAACGAGAAAGATTACTTTCAACGTAACAAAATTCATTGTTTAGGATTTTTAATATATATTGTATATCAATTCACAATTTATAACAAACAAACAAAATGGTAGCTTTAGTATAACGTATGATGAGCTAATTTGATTAGAATAATATATAATTTGATTAATTTGATTAGAATAATATATAATTAATAATATATTAATAAAAATATATAATTTTCAATAAAGGGTTCTAGGTTCCGACGAATACTGCGAAAAATGTTTAGTAATTTTTTTGTATCATTAATGCTCCCTATCGTTGAATAAATGATCTCATTCAATTTTACCGAAATGAAATTGCATTAGAATAATTATCAGATGCTATAAAATGTGTCCCTAAAATTAGTAATATTCTTGAAAAAATAAACAACTACATCTGCACAACTGTACCTTATTGTATAAATAACGAGTTATGTTGTTATACATATTTTTATTTCCATATCCGTTGACAGCTCAAATAAAACCGTAAAAGAACACAAAACGATCAATCAAATGATGTCGTAAATACATTTCTTATTTCAAAAATACAAAAATATATTTATGTAACATAAACAATTTTTATTTTTATGTAAAACATACAAAACGAATTATTCTTTTGTAAGTAGCGTAGATAAAACAATAATAAATACGTTAACGAATTAAGCCGTATTATGAAGGTAGCAGTTGATTTAAATTAAACATAAGACGTCATATTACTAATAATATAAACATTTATACGAGTAACTTCAGACACATTCCAAAACCAGAATTTAACATTTAACATTTCTGATAAATTTCTGTAACTTTAAAATAATTCGAAATAATTACAAATAGGGCTAGGGCTAGAATACGGTATAGTTTTATTACTAAAAAACATATAGTAGATGTATAATATCATTGTAAAATATTTAATTTGCCTTCATAATCATCTAAACGTGACATTGATGATGAAACATTATTTATGTCTAAACTCTGTATTACGATATGGACATAAATTATATACAATTCAAAATTGTAGTAAGCTTATGTTTTTATAGAATAAATTTTTAATTAAATAATACTATCTTAAATAAAATAAAAAGCACAAATCGAATTTACTGGATTTTTCTATTATAACACATGCAATTTTCATATTTTAGAGCATGGATATATTCGATATGAGCCAGTTCTAATAGACTTAAAGTAGTTGATTTAAGTGCAATTTAAAATTAACTGCCTAATATTGTATAAATTTGCTTAATATTCCATTCCATAATAAACAACTTTGATGTTTATTTTTAAGATCTTCTCCCACTGCAATCAACTTAATGTTACTATATATTAATTTAGTCATATATTTACTTTATTTCAACATATTTTTGTGTACAAATTATGTTTGTATTTTTTTTTAGAATTAAATAATTATTATTTATGAAAAATGTAGTATGCATATTACATTTTAAAAAGGCTGTGAATTAAATTTAACTCATTTTAACCCTATCAGACCTATGTCGATTTGAAAATAATGTTCTCACATTTAAAATGAACCAGAATTTGTTTGCATCCATCAGCTCCTCTTAATTTGAGAGACTTTTATAAAAATATTCACAATACTCGCACGAAAGACGCGTCTAGACGAGTCACTGAAC